CCTCTAATGCTTTATCTTGTGATAAAAATGGAAGATTTTCTAGGTCTTTAAAATCATCAATATTTTTGTATAACACATCAAATGCTGTTTTCTTGCCTATCTCATACATCGCATTTGTTGTGTCGCATCCAGTTAAGCAATGAATTGCTAGTAGTTTTTTACACATTTGTGTCCCTAAATTGGCCACAATATTGTTAATAGATAAAAAAATGTGAATTTGCCGAATATTAAATCCGTTAGGATATCTTGTCCGAGGCGATGAAGCGTTTTTGGTTTCACTGCTTTGAGAAACATATCCAATATTTTATAACTAATAAATATTTGTCTGTAAGTTTTATGAAATGTTACTTTAACCTTCCCTCCTAGAATGTCTTCCTTTTGATGAAAAATCTTTTGAGCACAAGTGTCTTTCCTTTTTTCAGCAGCACATATAATTGTTTTTATTCCTTTCAATCTCGGATTTTGCGTCACAAGTTTGTCATTTTCTTGCTAAGTCTGTCCACAAAATAAAAACTTCATCGTTTACAAAAAATCTCAATAGACACACACATCCAAAATAATATCTACCTTACTAATCGCAGTTAAATTAAAGACTGTTAGCAACTGAATCAAGTTATCGCCAAATTTGTCAGGAATAGATAGGTGGCATTATGCGTATGCGGGACGCGAAGAGATAGCTGCTCATTAGAAAGCACAATAAACGCGGCTACAGAAACTTTCAAGTTTGCGTATTTATTGCTCAAAAACTATGATACTTAAACCATGATACTTATAATAGCGATTCTTGTTTTAAAAACTTTCTTGAAGCTTTAGCTTTATTTGGTACGCAGATAGTTTAGTGAAATTTTGAAAAATAAAAAAGTTTCTCGATTACTGAAAATAGAGCTGCAAAGTCACTAACCATCAGTCCATACATTTTTTTTTACTCAAATACCATGAGAGAAACATGTTTTTTGCAAGCGACAAAAAATGCTACAAATGAATACAGTTCTCAAAAAAAAAAATTGAAGGAGCAGGGGCGGCCATCAAAAAAATACGATGTCGTCATGGTAGGATTAAGGTGGTTTTTACCATTCCATGATTTCAGTTGGTGTAATTTTGCTTTGATAAAAATCAAACAAAGCGTTTTTGAGTTCTTAAAAAAAAATTTCTTTCAAGTATGAAGCATAAGTGTTATGAAATTGGTGCCTTTTCTGTCACATTTAAAATAATTGATCGCTTCACATTCGGCGTGTTCACCAAACACATGGAAAAGGGCATTGAGGATATCTCTTTTCAACAGTTCTACTTTCTTTTTGACATCGGTGTTTTCTTCAATTCGATATTTCGTTGCCTTATTGATAGCAAATCTTAAACGTTTTGAATTTTTTTCCACCTCTTTTCTTAGGTAGACTGGTACAGAAGAATTCGTAGAAACACTCCGGGGTTTCTCTAAAAAAATAAAATATTATGTTAGGAGATCATTAAATAATTTACTCATGTTTATTTCGTTGCCTTATTGATAGCAAATCTTAAACGTTTTGAATTTTTTTCCAACTCTTTTCTTAGGTAGACTGGTACAGAAGAATTCGTAGAAACACTCCGGGGTTTCTCTAAAAAAAATAAAATATTATAATGTTAGGAGATCATTAAAGAATTTACTCACTGACTATATCTCTTAATTTCGAAGAAAAATTCCTAAGCAGATGGTTTCGACATTCAATTTTCGAAATTGCTGTTTGGGGACCATACGGTTTCATTTCCATCAGTTTCTTATACACAGAACTGTCACCATCGCCAACCAAGGTGACATATTTCAAACCACGTGTATGTATACTACTTCGAAATCCTTCAATAATTATGTCTGTTTGCATTGATGTAGACGTACCGGTCCAGTTTTTAAAATATTTATGTTGAGGTATTTCTAACTGTTTCCGGTTGTAAAAATAACATGTACTGCAGAATTTGTTTCTAACTCCCACATATAATAATTTTCCAGTCCGGTAACCTACAATACATCCCTAAAAAGACTAAAGTTAAAATTATCAATTTCTACTTGTATAAAATTTATACTTACCACGCCAGAAGAAGCATTATAGTTGACGTTATATGATCGTTTTGACCATGCTCCATCTGCTACCACAGTTATAAATGGAATCCCATTTCCATCTACTTCTCCTAAGCTTTTGGCCAACTCTGCTTCCTCTCTTCCAGCTTCTTCCATTACTTGCGTGGCTGCTGAGTAAATTGCATCAGCCACTTTGTCGTGATAGTGGACGTACGTTTTCTCCGCAATCATTGGCATATTTATTGCAGCTGCTATTTCGGCTAAGGTTGAGTAACGATACCGTCGAAACTGCTCCCAAAGTCAGTGCCGAATTGATATCTATTGAATCAGTGGTTCCTGAGAAATTGTTCGGATCTTCCAAATAAATTTGTTTAGTTATGCCACACATTTTACATTTAAAAGTATGATATCTATGGTAGAAATATAATATTAAAAAATTATTTTGTTTGTATATTTGACTTAGGGATGGATTGGTATAAGAAAATGCCTGATTAGATTCGAAATAAGAAATTCTGGTTTGATTCACGTCCATCCCTAATTTATTAACTATTTAGCTTAATTTATAACCGCCGTAACGTAACTTAAGAACTTAACGTAAGAAGTTGAAAAATTGAATTTACGTGTACTTATTTATAATGTTCGTAACGTAACTTAAGAACTTAACGTACCGTGGAAAGTTCACCAACTTTAACTTAAGGTAGTTCACTCGTAAAACGGCTTTTCTTAAGAATTCAATAAAATTGAAATATAAGGTTAATAAAAGTGTCTTTTATGTAAATAAAAAAAAATTAAATTTTTTGACCGTCTGTGAAACGAGATATTAACAATCAAAATGTGCATAATTAACTCTCTTGAAGCCTCTCATGTACACAAGTAATGCATTTATTTCCAGATATCTCGAAAACTGTTCTTACCATATTTTTTAAAAACTAATGTAATGTAAATCAAGAAGGTATAAAATTTTCTAAAGAAACGCTGAATTTTTGGACCGTCTTAGTAAAAAGATATAGATTTTTAAAATAAAAATTGGGGTTGCTATTTAAAAAAATTGTCAATGACGTCACTGCCCAAAAATGGGAAGTGGGGGAAAATTGAATTTTATTTAAAAAATTGCGCTTTAAGTAAACAAAATTGACCTGTCCGGGCATTTTTTCGAAAAACCAACTACTTCCATTATAATGAATGTATTCCTTTCATTTGAACCATACTCTATATATAAGATGATATAATCTTGCATGTGTTTTGTACAGTTTCTTACAAAAATAAAATTGATTAGCATTGAGAATCTCGAACTATTGGTATTCACCATTAAGCGATCTTTTTATGTACCGAGACGGTGTGTGAATTAATTTTACAGAAGTCGTCTGGCTTCGTTCAACAACTAATTGTGGACGGGGAACGGAATGATTCAAATACAGCTGAATGAAAAAAAAAAATTAAAGAAAATAAATTTACATGAAGTGAGGTGCGAAAATTAATTTAGACGTCTTTTTGGGAAATTAGATAAGTCGTCAGGACAGAGATCACTCTTAACCCGGGGACGGATCGAATCTCCGAAAAAGAAAATAACGGGTCGGCTTTTCCCCCAAAAGTAATAAAATAAAAAAAAAACGAAAACGGGTTGAACCTCTCACTTCAATGTTAACTGGGCGCTTTCTAAGAGAGATTGGATATAGTCGTTGACAATGAGAGCACTCAGAGTCTAGCCTATGTCCAACCTCAAATAAAAAATTGCCAACGGTTTTCCACGGAGGGATGAAATGAAATATCCTGGATATGAATTAAAATTTTTCACTTGTCGCACGGGTGTCCCAACTAATTATAAAAAAAAAGAAATAAAAAATAATGTGCGGTTTCCTACCTTAGGAAAATAAACGGGTTTGTTCAATATTCTTTCGATATCACGGTCACTACAGAGTATTTCACTCGACACTGCAGGAGAGAGAATAGTTTTCGGCTGCCGGAAATCAAGAGAGAGTAATTCCCAGATGTGATCGAATTTGTGCTTTTCGGTAAGCCCGAGTGGGGGATACCACTACTACAGCCGACTGTTTGCAATTTAAAAATAAAAAAGATGTCCTTCCAGTACCTTGACAAATAAAAGTAGATAATTGGTACGAAATCGACTCTACAAAATGCCCATTCAGATTTCGGCAAATATAGGAATATTTTAACCTACGAGGGTACTCGCAATTGTTGAAAAACGGTAATTCCTGTGAAACAGAAATACGGGGGATCTTCTACATGTCCTCAGGCGGGAATTAATTGAAATATACATTTTTTAAATTAATTAAAAATAAAATTTAGTGACTTCGTCACAACCTAGGGATACTATGCCACAGAGACGCGATTAGCCAGAGGGCAATGATGTACCAAAAAATATAGATTAACACGTATGAAAATAAAAATATTATAATTAAATTTATATTTTTATGTTATTTATGTAATATTAATATAATGTGTTTTTATGACATTTAACTGGGTGTTTACTTCACAAATGAACCAATGGAGAAACCGCCCCTGCTTATATAGTCATGTTTTATAATCTTTTTAAAATTATTTCCATATAAAATTTTCTACAAAGAATCGACTACTACTTCTAACTGGGCGATTATTGCATTAACTTGGTTACATCCTCCTTGTATCTAATAAAGGTTTTAATAACTTGTTTAAACTTGAAAATCTCAAGAAATTTTTGTTTGTATGTTAAATTGTTGTAAAGTTTCAATTAAAGTTTAATTGACGTTACCAGACGCGACGCCTTCATGCATTGGCGCACGATTTTGCCCATATTGACGGCGCGTCCTTGCCTCTTCCCTTGTCATAATTATTATCGTTCTAATTTATTATAGGTGATATAAAATAGTTGAAATGATTTTTATATTGAAAAAACTACTCTTTCTTCAGCTTATTTACTTATTTTTAATTAATATTCTTTGCTTATTAATTTTAGTTCTGGTCAACGATGGTCTGTAATGCCAGAAAAGGCTCGTGAAGATTTACTAACATTAGCCTCGATACTACTTCCAACAGAAAAGGCTGTTTGTTTTTTATTTTCTTGGACTTGTCGTCATTTTCCTGATACTTCCAATGACGCATCCGAGGTAAGTAAAAAAAAATAATTAAAAATAATGGGAATGATTTAAAAATTTTATTTTTTGATTGCATTTTTATTATTGGAACTAATATAAATAGAATGTCAATAATAATTTTGTCTCTTCATTTAACTTGGTGTATCAAATGCATGTGCTTAGTATAAACCAATTTAATGAATCTGTATTCATCTTAAAGATACGTAATGTAAACAAAGTGTCCACCACGTTATTAGAACAAAAGCTTTCAAGATTTGTTTCATTTTAGGAAGCGAGCAATTTATACTCTGCCCAAGAGGTCGTATCTACAAAAATTCCGATTTTGAGATTTTTACCATTTGATGATAAGCTTACATTTTATTTTATTATGATACAAAGTTAGAAAAACCTATTTTGATTAGAAAACATTTCATATTATATATAAATGTTAGTCACAACTGCAAAATTTACATAATGAAGTCTAAAAGGACATTAGTCTGTACAGGGTTATCTGATTAAGCACTCTTAGCGGCTGTATCTCAGAAACTATCCTACAGCTTAGAAAAAAGTGAGTCAAGTGAAATGCTGGAAATTATTTTCAACTTTCTATTTTACCCATTAGAAGGTGTAATTCGTTATGGTAATGCAAAAAGTCACTTTTCACCTATAAATGTCCAATAAATAGATGATAATAATAAAATAACGGTAATTTTGAACAAATGGTACATAACTTTTTTGCAACACTTTTTGCTCTATTCAATAAAATAACTGGTAGGGGCGATTGGGAACCTTAATTTAATACTTTTAAAAATTATTTATTTACATAATCTATTTACAAATATACAACTACAGATGCATTTAAATAACAGAGATTCTGGCTTATATTCTGCCTGTATGCAATTGTTTGTTCGTTATAGTCTATGGTTAGTTGTATACAATATCCAAGAATAACCCAACGAAATGCCGGACGGTCATATGTCCGAGGCTTCAAACAATGACAGCGCCCCGGGCCTATGCCCCTTCCACCGTTCGATATAGTCACTTGCCGACTGAATAATCGAAGATTCAGTTCGACTTTGTATATAGCATTGTAATCACTACATGCAATGATTGTCTATGTTATTGTGCTTTATTTTTGTCCCTGTTCAACGTCTATAAATTGTCAGACCTTAATTTAATAAAACTATTATAACTATGGTGTAGTTCATCAGATTTAAAAAAACTTAATATAGATTAAAAGCAAATTGATTATTTCAATATAGTTCTGATTCAGTTGTTTAAACTAGCACTAGGTGCCGTTGTTTAAACATTAACCATTTTTTTAAGTTTTCTTGAACATTTTAAATGGAATGTTATAATTTATATATATTATTTATAAAGAGAATTCGGTTCTGACAAAAAACAGTAAAAACCGGGTCTTTTTCCTAACGGAATATAAGCAAAAGTCTATTAATGGTGAATAGTCCACCTAGATATTATTAAATAAAATTCTTTAATAATTGATCTAGTTGGCTTTAATACGTCAGTAATTTTTCGATGATGAACACACAAAATAATTAACTCTTTAGCGTAAGTTTACTGGTTTAATAAAACTAAAAATGTGAAATAAAAATTGAAAATATTAATAAAATACAAAACAAGTAACTAAAAACAGAAAAACTAAAAAAAGAAAACACCAATAGAGTACCCGATGCCTCACATGATTCTGACACATAATAATAGATTTAAACATCAATCTTACATACATAATGCCGCCGCCTTACACTAATTCCGAAGCTTATGACATATTAATAATAGTTTGTGCAACAAGAGTGGGTATGGACAATCCACTCGAGTTGTATAGTATATTTTTTCTACTACCCACTAACGGAAATCTACAAATTAAAAAATATTTTAGGTTATTAAGACAAAATAACTAATTTTAAAATAATTTATGAATTTTACTGATTTTTAAAATAAAATATGAAAAAAAGAAAATAGTCGCCAGATGAGAATCGATCCCCGGCTTTTCGCGTGGAAGTCAAGTACTATGTCCATGCCTCTACGGCCGCTTTATACGATTTTGGTTTTAATACTCGTAATTAAAATAGTTTCATATAGTTTGAATAAAATTTAATTTTTGTTTCAAAATATGGTTCAAATAAAAATAGAAATGCTATTATTTACGAATATTTATCGATTCTACACAAAAATAACTCCTTTTAATGTATATTTAATCTTAATAATTATTTAAAATTTTAAAAATAATATTATTTGGGGTCCAAAATATAAACTGCGATTGGTGGATTTTATTTTTTTGCAGTGTTCTCACTACCTAGAATGGATATGAAATATAAAAAAAAAGTATATTTCGAATGTTTTGAGAATGCTCCAATTTCCTCAAGAAAATATTAATTCAGATATCCTCAGCGAATTCGAAAGTCAAGAGAAACGTTTAAAAATCTGTCAAATCCCTAAAAAGAAACCAGGTGTGTTGGACCTAACAGAGCTATTCAACGACGTCGAAGAAGCAGAACTCAAATTAACGAAATAAATATATTAGCATATGTTGCAACAAATCCACATATACGAGGGACACTGCCAAAGTTCGCGGAAAATGTAGAGCAAAACACAAATTACGTTATGTAAATCGCTTTATTGCTTCTCAAAATATTCTCCTTTAAAATCTATACACTTTTGCATCCGATGAAACCAATCTTCAAAACAATTTTGCCATTCTGAGCGAGGTACCTTCAAAACAAGCGATTTAAATGCTTCAACAGCCTCTTCAGGCGATGAAAAACGCTAGCCACGCATTTTATTTTTGATATGTCGAAATAGGAAGAAGTCATTTGGCGATAAATCAGGCGAATATGGGCAATGAGTCATTAATTGGATGTTGTTACTGTTCAAAAACTCTATAGTTCGTCGTGCTGTGTGAGCGCTTGCATTGTCATGATGAAGAATGATTCGCCGGTTTATGTTGTTCCTTCTGATTTCAGCGATAACTTTCGGCTAACAAATTGAAGTATACCAGTCAGAATTAACTGTCCTTCGATCCTCTAATGCAGTGCTCCGCAACCTTTCCTCATCTGAGGCACACCAAACTGCTCCCTAGAATTTCGTGGCACACCAAAATCTAAAATATATTTATAGCAGTGGCGTAGCTAGGTCGGGGGTCAGTTCACTCCATGTATACTAATTATTTATGGATGTCCAAACTACCTTAGTTTTTTTTATTGTTTTAAAATGTGAAGAAGCCCCTTTCAGATTTGGGGCATCAAAATTTTCACTCAGGACATAATACATATTTTTTTTTTATTTTTTTTTATTATTCAGATAGAATGAAAAATACAAATAGGTACATACATGAGAACTATACTAAATACTAGGTAGGACAGGTAGGTATACTAAATTTACTTCTGTTGACACGTCAATAGTAATAAATATTTTGACATGATGATGACTGATTAATGTGATACCTGCGCTTGCTTCGTTGAACACAAAAGTTTTATATTCGGCTCAATTTTAGACAGCGCAACTCTCATTTCTTGGTCAAGATCTTTTAAGCATGACCGTTTATCATTTTTAATTAATACAAGCGTTGAAAAACTTTGCTCACATAAATATGTTGTGGAAAACGGAAGTAGTGTGAAGATGGCCTTGTCGGTGATGCGTGGATATTCTGTCTTGATGGAAATCCAGAAAACATCTAACGGAACTTCGTCGAATTTAAGTTTTAGGGTCATATCATTACTTAATTCTGTGAACTCCTCTCGAGTTTGCAATGGCAGTGCTTCCGTGGAACTTATTGCATTGGTTGCGAAAGGATTTCGAATCCAATTGTATTGTTCCGTGTTGATAGAATGGAAATAGTATTCAAATTTTTGTTGAAGCATACTTAAATGTTGTTGGGCCAAATCCACAATCAACTGCTTGTTTTCGATCGTACTGTGGTTGGTCCTGTGATACATTTCTAGACATCCTTTTTGCAACTGTTCCTGCCAAAGTTCAAGTTTCTTTTTGAACCCTTGTAATTTATCGGAGCACGTCAATATATTTTCATTCCGTCCTTGCATTTTTTTATTAAGTTCATTCAGATGTTCGAATATATCCGCCATGTATGCAAGTTTGGCTATCCAGTATTCATCATGAAGGTGCTGGCATAGATCGTACATATCTTGACTTGAAAGAAACTCACGCACTTCGTAGCGAAGTTCAAACAGTCGAGCTAAAACTTTTCCCCGGGATAACCAACGAACTTCTGTATAAAACAGTAAGGATTCATGTTCGCTTCCCATTTCTTCACAGAGTATTCCAAAGATTCGCGAATTTAAGGCTCTCGATTTAATTATGTTTATGATCTTAATACATTCATTCATTGTGATCGAAAGCTGTTCGGGCAAATTTTTGACCATCAATGCTTCTCGATGTATGCAGCAATGTGTAATTTGTATTGACGGATTTTTTTGTTTTACACAAGATACAAAACCTTTCTTACTGCCCATCATTGCAGCAGCACCATCTGTACAAATAGCAACGCAATTGGTCCACTGAATATTATGTATTTTAAAAAAATTATCAGTTACTTGGAAAATTTGTTCACCGGTAGTTCTCTCTGGAACCTCCTTACAAAATAAATAATGTTCTTTAATAGAGTCCTCGTCAACGAAACGTACAATATCCATCAGTTGTGCTTTATTTTTAATATCGGTTGATTCGTCGATTTGAAGCGCAAAAATTCCAGCCGAAATGATTTTTTTAATTAGTGTTCCCAAAATATCACTTGACATATCTTGGATACGTCTTTTAACAGTATCGGCCGACAAAGAAACTTTACTCACGTCCTTAACTTCGTTTGGCCCAAGCATAAGTCTAACAATTTCCATGCATGCTGGTTTAATAAGCGTTTCACCGATAGTGTGCGGTTTTTTTGTTGTGCAATTAATTTTGCAACAAGGTAGCTTGCTTCTAATGCCTTTTCAGAAACCGTAACCGCCGATTTCATAAACTGCTTTTGTTTCTTATTTTGATCCAAGCGCCGTTGGAAAAAT